CTAATCCCACAGCCTTGCCTCAAAGCAGCGAGCAGTTAATCATATGAGCCTTTCTATTTGCTACACTTTGAGTAAGGCTGAAAGATCACGGAATTAGTTTCCTATGCTGTCTTTAAGGAGCAAGGAAATGAGAAAGGTTTAATTAATACCAATTTGCAAAAACCGGTAACTAATCTTGCAAGAATCAAATGCTACTAAACAGATCAATGCTTTTAAACAGGACAGATATTTTTTAGCTTTTTTTTTTTCTAAATTCCTCGGGGCCACGTGAGGTTGTGTTATGAATAAGGACAAGAGTACTTAGAAGTTTAGGGTAAAAAATAAGGGTACTTCCTAAGAAGTCTTCCTAAACCCCAGTTATTCCACAGGCCAACCATACCCCTGTCCACGTTGTCACTTTTAAAACTGGTAGTTTTCAGAGCTCAGTTAAGATAAATGGCAGCATTCACACTCCTCAGCTGGCAGGTTTCCTCAGCTGATAGATTAGATGTTGTCTTTCCCACAAAGGTGAGGGGGGAAAGACAAGAGAATAATTTTAAAATAAAATATTGCTTGTGACAGTGCATTTGCACAGAGCGTTCATCAGTTCGATGGAATAGATGGTTAGTGATTAGCTGATATTAAGGAATACTCTGAGGAGCAATCAATAATAATAATAGTAATAATAAAATACAGTGAAGTATCTTCTTTTTAGTATTAAGTATCAAGAGCACCTACTGGTAGCAGCACTGACAACAAAAATAACATGTATTTGTTAAGTGAAAGTATGTCAGCTTTCTAATTCACTTCTGCAGGAGTGGCAAATATATTCCATGTTCTTACTTGGCTCCAGGGCTGAGTCAAGTGCTTAAAGACACTTTGGATGTTTTGTTTAGTGCTACTGTGATTAATATAGAGTGTCCTGCATGGTATCACCATTAATAAATCCATGGTAAAGTTAAGATAGATTTTCAGGCTAAAAATCTGAAGGCCTTTCCTCAAAGTGCAGGATTCCACCATTTCCAATCCCATTGAGGTCAATGGAATTGCTTGCTGATGAAGACATCAGTAGGAAGGATTTCTGGGCTTTTCTTATTTACTCAAGTATAAACTCAAAGCATCACATTAATCACATTCTCTAATAGTAAGTTTTATGTGTGTTCTGGGCTGCTATATTTGCAGTAGATATGGAAGAATCTATATGCTAAACTGCTCTACCACACTTGTACTGCTGTTAGCATTAGAGCGAATGCTGGGGTATATATATTAAAACTAGCTCGGGTGTATTTGTGAGAGCTTCAATAACTCCCTTTGCCTGCAGGATAGACATATGCAAGTGATCATTAGCTCCCGAGCTACCCCTTGGGCTGAGCACTCGCAGCATGTTCCCTATTTGAGGCTGTTCTCACTATTTCCATAATTCTTACAGCCTCTATAATGCAGCTATAGAAAACAGAGCTGGGCTCATTGCTGCTCTTACATTAACTCCAAGGTAGTTCCCCCAGCCCATTATCCCATGCCCATAGAAACACTCCGTAAAATTCCATCCGTCGGAAAGCGGGGATCAGGAAAGCTAATAAAAATGATTCACGCTCGCGCTCTCCTCCCATTAAAGCAGCGGTTTGAAAGAAAGGGGGGCCCAACTAGAACCCACTGTCAGCAGACACGAGCCTGGCAAAGCCAAGGAAGTCGCATCCAGCAAGGGAAGCTCTAAATCCAGCTCTCCTTGCTCAGGGAAAAGCAGAGGTTGCTGTGGCATGATCGTAACCTCTGAATAATCTCGGTGGGCAACCTATTCCTCTACCAAGGCAAGCTCCAGTTCTGCTACTGACATTGGGCTAGTGTAGCCCAGCTATGAGAAGCAACTAAGGGGTGTTTCTTTCTTTTTATTTTTTTTCTTTAACAAAATGGATAAACCCACATCATATTAAACAGATGCCTTTGCAAATAAAACAGAAAAAAACAGCAATGTTGCAAAAGTTTGAGAGAATCTGCACTAGCGTGGTGTTGTGATTAATTCCACTGAGCATGGAGTTAAAATAAGGTTCATGAACTTCAGTGGGAACATTGATGTGCATAAAGTTGGAGCATGAGAGCAGCTTTCATGGAGACTGAGCCCAAAAAGAAACTCTCTGTTTTTCAAGTTAACAAGAAAATACGTTTGACTGCCTTAAAGATATATCTCAATTAAATAATTAAATATAGCAGCTGTAAACAAGCTGCTATACCACTGTAGAAAAGTCAGCCTTAAAGATATATCTCAATTAAATAACGGAGTACCTGTAAACAAGCTGCTATACCACTGTGGAAAAGTCGAGAGTCCAGACTGTAACTTCAGGAGTATATGCAAAGATAAAAAATAGCTGAAATAATAGTGAAACAAATTTTGTTTAAAACACAGATTTTTTTTTGTTTGTTTTTCTTGCATTTATTTTCTGGAAGTAATTCAAATAATTGCTCTCCTTAATTGCCATAAAATTTGCTCATGCAAACATTAAAAAGCCTGTAGAAACTAGTCACTTCCTAAAATGTGCGATCATAGAATCATGGAATCATCGAATCCTTAAGGTTGGCAGGGACCTCCAGGGATCATCTAGTCCAACCCCCTGCACACGCAGGGTCACCTAGAGCACGTGGCACAGGGCTGTGTCCAAGGGGGCCTTGGAGATCTCCAGAGATGGGGACTCCATAAAATAGCTCCTATTTTCTTCACACAAAATGCAGGTTTTGCCTGACTAGAGCCATAAGACTTGCTCATGCAAACATTAAAAAGGCTGTAGAAACTAGTGGCTTCCTAAAATATACAATCAAATAGCTCCTATTTTCTCTACACAAAATGAAGGTTTTGCATGACTAGAGCTTATAGATCTACAGATCTCCCCAAAATCTGCAAGAGTATTTGAGTGAATAAAGATTTGAAGGATTGATATAATTGATAGGATAGAGGTTTCCGTGGACATTCTGAGCCTTGTTCAGCAGAAACACTTTCCTACAGCCCATCTCCAAAGATGGTCTTCCTTTACGATAACTATTTGTGAGTAGAGATACTCAGGGTTAGGGTTGTGTGCAGTACTGTGTTCCTTCTTTTCCATAAAAATATTCTCCCAATAAAGTTTGTTTTGCATATAGGATTAAACTTTGCATTTGGCCCAAAGACTGTGCAATTTTACGGTTTATTCTAGGCACTACAGTTCTCATCATGAAGCTCTTCTTCCCAAGAAGGAAGGGAAAGTAATGTTGCTAGGGCAGTGCAGTTACAATCTTAACTTTGTGCTCTTTCCAGTTAAAAAATTATGCTCTTATGATCTTTCTGCTTTGCTATCACTGGAGCTGCTTTTTCACTTTGAAAGTTTTCAATAGTGGAGGAAAGGAGGAGATTACTGGACATTTATCTCAATGGTAAGCATTATAGGAACGTGGAGAAAATGTCCTCATCAGCAGGTTTGTGTTTTTTAAAATGCTGTGTTCATCTGACAGTTCTTTCAATCACTTTTAGTAAAATACATCTGTAGCCATAGTATAACCCCCACACACACACCTGTAAATTATAACGTGGCATGCCATGATTTATTTCATAGCATAAAAGCTGTTAAATGAATACTGACAGCACCATTAGTGCTCTGATCCTGAGCTGAAGTGCAAGTCAGCTCTGCTTAAGTCATCGTTCTCATGAGCCATAAATAAATGTGCAGTTAAAAAGGGGTCTGTAAGTTAATCAGAGCAGAATTAGTAAAGAAGTGAGCAATTTAGGAGCTTAGGAATGGGCACGCTCCATCACCTCACCATACTCTCACATTGTGCTTCTATGACTGGCCAATAACTGGTGCTAAAAGGTAGAGAGCATGGGCCAAAACTTGGCTCATTCTGCATAAACCAAGGAGTATGAATACAATTTTAGCAGCTAAACTTCCATGTCTGGTACCTCGTTCCCTTCGTTGACAAGCAGAGCTCATGTTGTCTGCCCGTGTGCTGGGCTCCTTCCCAAACACTGGTGAAATTAAAGTAGCGATAACCAGATTAATGCAGCTGCTGATGCTCTTTAATTTATCTCAAGATTCGGCAAACCATGTTGCCCTGCCCTAAAATCCAGGTTCCTTGATTTCAAGCTTCTAGCAGAGAAAATGAGCTCCGCTGCTTGCACCCAAGGAAGATGTTTAATTGGTCTTCTGACTTCTTAGCTAATATAAACTTTTATTTTAAAGCCACACACCATCTGTCTTCTATAAATATCAGTCTGTCTCAGGTGTCCCTATTCCAATCTTTTCTTTTTCCAACACCCTTAAACTATCTTTTTTTTCTCTTTGAGTTACATAGATTTATCCTATAGATACTACAGATGTTCTTTTTGGAGGGAAAACAAATGGATGTTAATTTGTCTGTCCTTTTGAATGTTAATCTGCCTCTTCCTAAACCCTTACAAATTCTATTGTGCTATAAGTATTTATTACAATTAATTTACTGCTAGGAGCTGTGATCCTGTAATATTTAAGGCCGCTTTTATAAAGAGTCAAACCTCCTCGTGATTTCCTAAAGAGCCGAGGTCTTTCATGCCTAGCACTTCAGTAAAGATGCTCAACATTCTTTGAGTAATAGCTGCTTTTTCTTAATGAGAAATAATTCTCCTCTCCTCCAGCACAACTATCATACAAGATTTGGACTTTTATTTAACCTTCACTTGCATTTCAGTCTGAGGTATTTAGCCCAATATATCTGTCCATCTGAATCAGACAGTAATGCTTGAATTAAAATGGGAACATCACAGTCTCCCAATCTGCTTTGTTTGTTTTTTACTTTAGTCACCAATATTTTACAGAAGAAAATTACTTAATTGACGTACTGAGGTAATTTCTCATTAGAAATGAAACGTTTCTGTTCACTCCTTTAGAACACCAAATGCAACGCTGGCTAATGGGACAAGATGGCCAGTCTTCACAAGTACTGAACAAAAATACTTCACTTTAAACACGGAACCTCCCAAGATATACACGAAATTACGTGCTCAGCAGTGTCGATTCTGGAACACGTTTTTCCCCAAAGTCCTGGAAATGACAGGTAAAAACTCTCTCTTTTTTTTTTTTTTGTAGATTTGCTTATGTAAACTGTTTTATGCAAGCTCATTTGCTTCATATTAATATGCTATTTTAGTTTAAATCTTGAAGATTCTGTTTGCAAATGTATTTCCATGAGATATTCAGATGTTCAAAGAACTGTCCATCCTGTATCGTGTCCTACAGCTGTGGTCATCACCCATAAACTCATAGCACCCAGCTACAAGCTGGCTCAACCCTGGGGACAGCCTAGGCCCTGGACTTGTGCAGAACAGATGTATCTACAACAACATGAGACATCTGAGCACGGTGAAAATCTCTCCATTCTCCAGGAGCCTGGAGCGAGGGTCTTGGAATTTATTCACTCAGGTTTCCCTGGGGTGGTGGCAATAGCACAAAAGTCATTGCTAAGCTGGGAACTTGCACAGGGATTTCTGAAGGCCAGAATGGCTTTGTATAAGTTTCATGTGTCCCAGGTATATTGTGGGCTGATATATTAGGAGTATATCATATAGAGCATATGGGATTATATCATTATGTGACAGGTTCACGGGGGATAAAGCGTTCTGCATGTGCCAAGTGAGTATTTGGTTCTTCTTCAGAGGTGTGTTTTATTTCCAGAGCTTCAGACATTAAAGACAACTAGAAGGACCTTGGCATTGACCGAGGAAAATTGTGTCTGAGTCGTGACTACCTGCTCATACAGTCTGTTTGTGAGAGGTAGCTAATCACTACCCAGAAAACACACAAGCAGCAGGTTTTTTGTGTTTACTTGAACATAATGGGCTTTTAAATCCGCTTGTACTGAGACAGGTTTTTGTGCAAAGGCCATAGCAACTCTTGCTGTGAAGTCCATCAAACTGACCAAGGGTCTGTGCTTGCGGGTTGCACCAAGAACTCTCTTATAAAGGAGATTTTGTAGCTCTGAGCTGCATGGGAGTCTCATTTCAGAACTCGGATGCAATTTTTAAAGGTTAATTAGTAATTTACAAGCATTCTGCAAAGCTCAGCTTGAGTTGTAGACTTAAAAATAAGTAAACTTCCATGAAAAAGTGCACGGATTTCTTTTTCGTTTCCCCTGATATAATTTGTTCCTTCCTAATTTGAGCCTATATTTGTCTTATGGCTCAACTTTCATCCGCTCTTAATTCAACAGAAGTTTTTCAATTAAATCAAGAGAAGCAGCAACATCAGTAGGTAAAAGGAATACTTTATCAATTAATTTTGGGATTTAAAAAGAAAAAAAAAAGAGAAAATGAAGTTATGTGGATGGAATTTAGGATTTTTTTTGAATTTTGAAGCTCCCTTTATTCTGAGCCAGAAGAATCATTTTAGGTGTTTCTCTAACCAGGCTGTGAGCTCCCACGGTGTAACGTACACCTGCCAAACAACCGGCCACCACCAAATGCTCCATGGCAGAGTAGAGGTGACCTCTAGACACTGCTCAAAACATCTTGGCAGGAGGGCAGAGCTGCTTTGCATGTCCCTGTGTCAGGAGGGATGATGAAGCAGCCTCCTGACCTGCCAACAGGCCTTCACCTGCTCTATTGTGCTCAGTAACTCACAATGTGTATTTACATTATTAATTAAAAGAAACTCAACATGTTCTTGCACAGAAAGGAAAGACTTATCATGCTGGATCCTGCTCCAGAAACCAAGCAGTTATGAAGCAGTGCTGTTTCGTCATGTGTCTGAATCTATGAGTCCTTGAAATAGTGCAATCAAAATATTATGGTTTTGTATTTATGTTTGGCACACGATCTCTTATGATTTTGACAAGGAAACTCTTAATGTTTCTACTTACAAACATGATATACTACCATTATGTTGTAAAAATCCTCTTCTCTGAAATATCTTGCATTTCTATCTCCTTTTACACCCAGAGGAACTAGCAGGACACTGAATGTCATAAACAGAAACATTTCCTCTTCTTATGAAGGCCTATATTTTCTATTATTTCTTCTACTAAAATACTCTAGTAAAAAAGTAAAAGATTACTTTAATATAATGTAAGACAACAAAAGAACCAAAATAAGGACGTTTATTATTGCAACTAATAGTTCAAGGGTAATTCTGACAGCCAAAATGGAATTATTTCAGCTAGGATCTGAATATATTCATAATATTTCATTTGAGGGCAAAAGCAGTTGGAAAATCACCAGAACTCTCTTTGTGATAACTTGCTAAAAGTACCACACCGTAGGGACAGAGCTCAGTAAGTGACTCTTAAGTGGCTTTTAGAGCAATCATACGTTAATTATAAAAGCATCTATGTAAGACTACTTCCTTAATACAGTCCTGATGTATCCAGACCCCTCACTATTTATATACTCCTGTTTCCACTTGATTGTGGAAAGCTGCAGGTGGCCAAGCTCTCCGTTTGTGTTCCGCTACGATTTTGTTTCTGGCATGTATAACATATACTTTTCCATTTCATTTGGATCATATAGCATCTAAAAAGAAAACAAATATCAAGGTAGCTAATATGAATTCATTATATTTTAAAAACTAAAATGTGAAAACATTTTATGTATGGAGACAAAGAAAAGTTCATTTCAATTTCCTGATTAGTAAATAACCAAAATCATTTTATCTGCTGTGATCATCCAAACAATATGTGGATTCTGTAGGGATATCGAAGGAACTATAAATACTCGGAACATTAGGACTATTAAAAATAAAATGAATTAGAAAAATTACCATTGGTTTTCAATTGTCATAGAGCTAATCCTGCCTTCATTGTGCTTGTTGAAAAGTGAATTACTCAAAAGCAATCTCACCAAGACTACTGCAAGGTGACCAGCTACAACACCTTAATCTTCATTTTTCTAGCTATATCATTTTGCATCCCAGGTCACAGGAGATAAACCAGCTCTTACAGTATTTCACCTTCCAGACAGCACTATCATATTTTGGAAGAAAATTTTTAAAAAATCTAATGTTCTTAAAAATATATGTGGAAACACAAATACTATTTAAAAAAATATATTCACAGAATGTATGATTACATTCTGTGTATTGAAAAGACAAATATTGATGCACTATTTCTTTACTGCTTTGTAGCATTTTATGTAGAAACTATCACCATGAGAGCCTGCAGTAGATCAAGTTGTAGTGTTTATCATACTGATGAGTCAAAAAGATGTTTGCCCGTACCAGGATTTATGAGATGTTGAGAAGGATGGAAAAAATAATTCTATATTTCAATCCCTTTCTAATTTTACTATAAAAGAATAGCTACACAGCCTTTGTCCTGCTCCTAATGAAAATAGCGCAAAAATACATTTAAGATTAGCACTTTATTGGCACATTCAGCAGAGCAGCAAATGATGGAATGGAGACAAATTTAACTTTGCTATAAGGTCATTTGAATGGGAGTTATGTGGAAAGAAAAGAAATGCCAGCTGTCTGTGCTGACCCTGTGCAGAGGAATAGAGAAAAAAGACTTCATTTTTTTGCTTTGTTAAACTGAGACTTTTTGAAGCATTAAGTCATGATTCACTGCCCACTGAAACCTCCCCTTTTCTCCTCATAAACTTCACTGGGCCCTGAATGGGGCTAGTTGTTATTACTGTAAGGTCTGGGACTATCTAAATGACTTTACAAAGCAAAATAAGTTCCCTGTATTATTAGCTGACTTCTGTAGGATTGCTCTGATGGGGGCTGCCCAGGACTCGCAGCTGTAATTACCGGTCCTGCCGAATTCCCTAATCCTTTTTTGCCTTCTAGCTGACAGCTCGTCCAAGTCATGGGTGGTTGCCTCCAGGAGATTGATGATGGTGGTGATAATGGGATGCATTGACTTGTGACTTCAATTTGGATCTTATCACTGAAAAAAAGCAAACAAATGGGAGTCCGAGTTCTTATTTTGGTGTTTTCCTTTCTCCCTTGTCTTTTAGATTCATAATGATGGCCAGTCTCTGTTTCTCATTGTCCATTCTCCCCAGCTCCCTCACTCCTTCACAGTGATCTTGAAGAAGCACTGAAATGTCTCACAATTTCTACTCTAGAGCAGTGATTTTTAATTGAAGATGTGTGTATGGTAGATTTTTTCTGTTTTATTCCAAGTCTTTGGACAGAAATGCTTTCCAAACAGCAAGCCTTTGCACACGCCTAAACCTGAATAATGAAGGAAGAAACAGAGCAATTTCTCAAACTGATATTGAGACCATTTGCCTGGCTAAATAAAGCTGGATACCCATAACAATCAAGTACAAGAAAAGAAATAAGATTTATGTGTTTTCTTCAAATAATGCAAGAACAATCCACATGCTAAGTAACCAGAACATCTGAGGTGTGTAGAAATAATTTGGCTTTATCAGAGAACCTGACTTCTTTAAATTAAGAAATATACAAAGACCAGTTCTCAGGGTCAGGCAAATAAAACGTCAGGCATTTCTTCTCTGTATAGTTCTGTGACTCACACTTGTCTAGCTTAGTAACCAGACATGGTTTTACTGTAACCAGCATTGCAACTTTGTCCTTAGATTTAATGGCAGTTGTGGCCAGCAGATTTTTTTTTTTATTTTCTGAATTTTCTTTGAACTCTGATATTACCAAACTTATATTCTTCTTACAACTGTGGTGGGAGGAGTTTGGTTAATTTTTCCCCCTTTGTATTTGCCCTTCATAATTTTACTTTTGACTACAAGCGGAACTGCAAAACCCCACCAAGAAAAGGTTGCATTTCAACTCTCACTGAAACCAAGAAGTAATGAAAATCTCATTTCAAAGTCTCATTAAATTGCCATCTGGATTTCCAGACCAAAAAGGTTTGGAAACATTGAGCTGAACTGCAGATAAACAACTAAATTACTGGATGCTTCTCCAAACTAAATCTCTGAATCTGTTAACTCTCTTTCCAGAATATTTTCTCTACTGATGTGTAAAACACAAAAGAAGTATTTCATTTTCACATAACCAGCTAAACTTGCACTGCTGTCAGATCATAAAAAGGGAGAAAGGGTTTATTTATGGAGGAAAGGGGCCTATATTCTATCCTAGCAGAAGAACATAAAATCAGAGGAGCATAAAGCATCCATGGAAATGGTATAGTATGAGCACAATTACCAAACTTTGTTTTTGGAAGCGAGTTATGTTGATATGGGAGACTGAAATAATCAAATCCAGAATGCATTTGTAGATCACAAACTGCCTTCTAACTTCAAGAAAAAAAAATCTCTACAAGAGATCTAAAATAATGACCCAGGCTATGCAATAAACTCCAATATCTTCCCTTTAGCTGCTGTATGAATCCTTCCTGCAGTATCCTGTATTCCTCCCTGGGGCTAATTTTCTTCTGGGAATGGAAGAAGTGATCCCTGTGTATAAGATACTTTGGGACCTTTCCAAGATGATCTATTTTTATTACTCTTCTTAACCTTGCCCTCTGCTATTATGCCTATTACAGATCTGGCAATAAATATTGTCTTGGGACATGGGATTGCTTGGAACATGTTTTATAGGCTAGAATAAGGGAAGGAAAAAGCATTTTTTTTATGTTGACATTGTGCACATTTTACTGTATCTCTCTCCAAACTTATGTCTTTTATGTTTAATAACATGTATATTTATTTCAAACAGGGTGAAATCATGACCCTATTAAATCTAGTGGCAACACTGTTGTTGCTTTGAGCAGAGTTGTGATTTCAGTGTATTTTTGCATGTACATATCTCAGTTTGCAAGGGAGCATCTAGGTTTCACTTTAAAACATATTGAGCCAGAACAATATTTTGAAGATTTCAGAAAGACATGATTTTAAAATGACTAATTTCATGGACATGAATATTAGCTGAAAACCCACAAACCTACCCCTAAGTGTAGTTATTATCCTGAAGTGCATGTCAGGATATCTTTCCAGTCCCTCCTTCCCAATCTAAAGATAAAGTCTTAATCACTGCATTCTCTTTCCAGGCTGAAGAAAAGAGACAAAGGAAGATTAGCCTAAAATGTATCTAGAGCAAATGACAGTGATAATCAAAAATATTTTCAATTACCTTTTAAAGAGATTCAAATTTAGATTAATGCGACCCATTTTGTGTTTTACAGGAAGTGTTGATGAAGCAGAACTGGAGTGGAAAGCAGGATTCCATCGCTGGAGCAATTACATGTCGGACTGGAAAAATCAATTTAATGATTACACTAGCAAGAGGGAGAGATGTACAGGTCTCTAACTAATATGTTTGCCCTTTCCAGTATGCCTATATTGCTGTTGATCAAGGCAAATACACAGGTATTTCTAACGCATCAATCATAAAATGTTATGCAGATTTAAAAAGAATTATGGATATAATATTAATTCCCCAGATCTCTCATTTATGTTTTACCTCATATCTCAATAAACAACAAGGCATCCAAACCCTTTGAAGTTGCAGTGTGCTAAATAGGACTAGATATATTAAAGTCTGAAGATTAATGATGTACATATTATTACAAACAGTAGCTGCTTAAATTCACACTTCAAAGAAACAATGTAATCTGTTATAGAAAAATGGATTTTTTAAATAGAAATAGCTGTGTTTTAGAGCATTGTTATGCAAAACACAATTGGTTTTGATCTTTGACTGCAATGCTACAGCACTTAAACCTTGCTTCAGACATAATTTAATCGACATCAACATAAAGAGATAACAACTTTGCTGGACACAACAAATGATATTTGCTTGTTAGACCAAAAAGTTAAGGCAGTCATTAAAACCTGAATTATTGCTTCTTTGTGGCCAAAGCTGTAGGACAGCCAAAGCCAGAGCGTATTCAAACTATCTATTAAAGCGTCAAAATCATCGGTTCCCTGTGCTGGTACAATCATGAAGTGAGACATGAAGAGGATATGATGCCAGGTGAAGTGGTCTGGAGGACCAAGATCTTTCAGGTGGCTACACATATGGATAACTATTCCTCCTACTTTTCTGCTGCCAGATGTGGTTGGAAGTTACATATAATAATACTTAAGAATACTTTACTCAACTTCCTTTCACTGGCCTGTCTGGGAAGAATAAATGTCTAAAATTTGATGGACATAAGGAGGATGTAAGAGGAACAACCCTTCTCATAAATAAATGATTCTGAAGCTTTAGGTAAAAGTAACAGCTTTTCACTGTCTCCATTTCCCCTTCTAGTGATCACAAGCTCTTACAAATCTCCCTGTTGAATTTGGCATACTGATAAGATGGAGGTAACAGAGAGTGGTCTCTTTTTGGTGGCCAATTTGACCAAGAAGGGTTCCTATGCAGAAAGGGATCACCATTTATCTTTCAAAAAGACCAAACTCTGTAACTTGTAATAGCTGTTCATCCTTTCAGTTGCTACTAAGAGAATATAATTATTTCCTGAATAAATTAAAGAAAAAAAAAAAGAAAAAAAAAAGAGAGAAAGGAAAGACATCTTATATCACAGTATTTCTGAAGACCACAATCAAACTTCCACAATCAAAAACATCACCATATTAGAGCAGGCTGATTATAATTATGAAAGCATCTAGAAGATAAAAAAAAAAGCCCTCTTCATACAGCATTTCTTGTTTATACCACAAGTATTACATATATATATATGCTAATATATCATTACATATATTAGCAGTTACCAATACTAAAAACAGCATGGAGAGCTGTGTCAGTCTGCACCACGCTGGATATTCATGGAGTCTTCCTCATACTGCTCATCTTCCAGTTGGATCTGCCCATTGCCGCATCCCTCCATGGTGCTGGGCACCAAAGTGCCATGGCCAACCTCCACAGGAGCAGCAAGAAATCCGAGCTAATTAAAATAAACTTTCGGAAAGGCTGGTTGTAAAATGCTTTATAAAATATCTTGTTGGTTAGGCGTCTTTGTGTGTGGCGTTTGCTTGGCTGGAAAAAGCCCATGTGAAGAGTAATTAATACTCTTTCCACATTATGTATGCTGCATCTGTTTCATGATCTTAAAGAGAAATAAAAACGGAGGGAAGAGGAAAGAATAAAATAAAGCTTAAATCACTTTCTGAAGAACTGTTTTACTGATTTTCTTGGTGTGAATAAATTTCATATGCTGGGGAAGAATTTAATTATCTCTGTTTTGTCACACATGAAATCAACATATCACGTAGTCATATATCCATATCCCACACTCACCCAAACATAATAAAGCCCTAAGCACTCTGACTTACGTGGCTGAGGTAATGAGGAGCTAAAAAAGAACAGTCTCCACTAGGAAGAGTCTAAAAGCAAAGGTCAAACACACTTGATGTCATTTGAGATGTTCAATGTCGTTGCCTATCGCAGGGCTCACATATGAGAGGGGATGTCTCACCCGGACTTCACTGAGGATGTAGTGTTGTTAATTAATGTTTTCTCTTGGCTCAGAAGAGGCAAGAAACCAAGGCTTCTGTGTGAAACCAGGGGAAAAGCACTGATACTTTCAACTCATACTTGATCTGATGCAAGAATTTTGAAGTTAGTCCCAGAGGTGCTGGGAGATTATAATAAGGTGAACTTTGGTGCCAATGAAAATGTTGGCATTAAACCAGTTGTCATTAGGTTTATAAGCTAACAGCAAGCTGATTAAATTACAGATGTTTCACACTTACTTTAGAGATAGTTATAAGGGGCTTTAAGTCAAAACTTTTCCAGTAAAACTATTTAATTAAAAATACCATATTTTGACTTTTAGTGTTTTATGTGAAGGAATTTGGGTTGGATAAACTCTTGGTAGAGTGTTATTTGAGGGAAACCCTACCTATGATCCTGCTGGGTCCAACCCCAAAGGAGCTGGTCTGCTCAGAGTACCAGTGTCGAGGGGCTCTGCAGGGTCCCCAGGGCTAGTCAAGGTCCAAGGCTTTATGACTCTGGAAAGGGCATCTGGAAGTTGCCTTTTGTTCGGACACAGCCCTTGAACCCTCCAGCTTTACTCCAGCAGAGATAAAAAGCCCAAAGGCTTTGAGGCTTCCTTGCAATTGCAGCTTCTATGCCCATAACTTGGTTATTTAGGACTGGCTTTCAGGCTCCATAATCCATCCCTCAAGGTTTATCGCACGGAGAAAGTCAAATTTCCATTTAACTGAAAGCTTGTCTTTCCATCCCCTCTTTGGTCACTGGAGGCTCAGGCTATTTATGGGGCAGGGCTTGCCGCTCTATAAATACATGGATATATGGACAGAATTTAGCTCTTTGTTAGCAGGTAGCTCTGATATGTCTGTGAATGGAAAGGAACAGAGGCAACTCCCTGCCATCCCTAGATGGAAAGGCATCTCTGCAAGATAATGAATATAAATTTTCTATTTTAGGTAGAGTACTGTAGAGAAAATTATCACAGATTGTGGAGAAACCGGTGGAACTGCCAGAATGTGTTATTTATATTACATGATGCACAAGCTTAATATGACCCTCTCTGAGCCTCTCTAATATTCTTGTTGCAATGGATCATCAGCAAGGGATTCAGCCCATTGCCATATGCAGATATCATGCAGATAAATATCATATTAATGGTGTGTGTGTGTGTGTGATTATTTGTCTTCATCAACATCACAACATTGTCTTCTTCTCAGGCACGGTTATAGTTCATGCATTTTTACTGGCTCAGCACCAGTTCTGCAACATCAGCGGCAGCTATTTTGAGGGACATCATAAACACCATAATGCTTCAGATACACCTGCAATACATAGAGCCATTAAAGAGCAGCCTGTGGTGCCACTACCAAATCCCAGCTGGAAAACAGTAGACAGGTCCCTTGCCCTTCCTTCTGCACTGGTTGGAAAACAAGCATTTTTGCCCCAGAATAATTAAAGGGCTACGTAGCATATCCAGAGGTCCTGCACAACCTAGTATCTCTGTTCCGATAATTCCAGCCAAAATATTCTCCCACTAAGCTGCAAAGCTTAGAAACTTGCCAGCAATTCTGAATATGGGGCAAGCAATGAGACCAGCAGCTCTGGCTGTAGCTTAGGGTCTGCTGTGGAAAACACGAGACAGCTGATGACTTTCTCACTGACTTCTCCTCTTCCAACCATGCAGCTGTGGGCAATTGCCCAAAAGTCCCACCACTCTTGGCTGGTGAGCAGCTCTAATGCCCTGCACCTGCATAAGGGATATGGGCAGTTGGATGTGTCTATCCCTTTCTCCATGTGCTGCCTGATTTATGCTGGGAGCAAGAAAGTGTTAGGAAAAGTTCCTGAATTATGAGTTTTTAACTTCTTCTTATCTAGGTAAGTTCCTAGGTGAGTTTTCCTATTGCTTGGCAAGTTACTGCTCTGGGTGAGAGAAGGAAAGTTTTTTTTTTTTTTTTGCATTTCCAACATTGATGAAATGAAATGAATAGTGTGTCTTGGGAATCTGCAGGGGGCATTTAAACGCAGTGTGTGCACATGGTCAATGCTTAACCTTGGGTCTGTTCGGACTACAGCTCCAAAATTGTGTGTTATGGAATTTAGAGGCTATAAGTGCATATACACATCCACCTATAAGTATTTAAGTATATACGTGTTTTCCAGACATTGTCTCTTACCACTGTATCTCCAACTTTTGCAAGCAACACTGACTTGGGAATGAAAACTTATGTAAAGGCAATATATGTTCATGTTTTTTGCTATGTTTTTAATATATTGTCAAAACATGTCATCGAACTGGTGAGTGAAATGATTGCAGGACTTTCTGATATAAATCAACAAACACCTCAGCCAAATTAGTCATTCACAGTTAAAAGTGCAAAAGCTTTTACTCTGATTTCAGTTGTTTCAGGACCAAATTTTATGAACATAATTAGCCATTTTTAAATGCATCATAAGACAGGATAATTCCATCCTGACCCCTGCTGAAATCTTGAAGCATGAATACTGATTATCTTCTTTCCGCACGTAAACTTTCAAGTATTTTGTTGATAAACTGGATTAGCCACACTCATAAAAACTTTAACTCATAACCTTAATGACTGCAGTGCAGCAACATGAATTCACAATTAGCGCAGGTGTGTGTTTTCGAGAGGCTTTTAATTGGGTTGCAGGTGAGCTTAAATAAGGCTTGCAGGCCCGGGGCAGGATGATTTCAGTTAGTTTGGGGAGTTTTAGGAGGAAAAATGGAGTCCAATCCCAGTACAGGGGCTGGTAGAGAGAAGTGAGCAATGAAGATCACAGCAGTTTGTGGGTGCTTCGGGAGTCACATTCGCACTTTACCCAATTCCAACATTACTTACATCATCTTTTTAAGAATAGGCTCATTTGTGTCAGGGTCCTAGAGACTTCCTGGAAATTATTGGTGTTTCAAACTTGAGAAAGAGCATCAGCTTCGGCTTTTAAAAATC